GGAATGAACCTGGAGAAAGTCTCTCTCTCTCTTTCCCCCTATCTCTCTCTTTTAGAAAGAAAGAGCCTTTGTGGTATAGGAAGCAAATAGGGGAAGGACCTGAAGAGTGACTTAGCTTGACAGGTTCTAGGAAGAGGGAAGACTAGCAGAGTGGAGGAGATGTCTGATGCTGGAGGGCCAGCACGGGCGGCTCAAAGAGGGCTTTGTTTAAAAAAATTAAAAATTTTTAATGTTGTTTATATAATTGGGAGGGATGTGAGTCTCTGATTAGGGTGGGGAAGGTCAAAGCATGGAGGAAGGTGAGTGGAATAAATGTTTCACTTCTTTTTTCCTTTTTTTTTTCTCTGTCTGCTGTTGGGCTGGGAGAGGGATAAGGGGATCACTCCTAGTTGTTAAACTGTATCAGCACCCTGGGGTGGGAGAGGGATAAGGGGATCACTCCTAGTTGTTAAACTGTATCAGCACCCTGGGGTCGGGGACAGTCCTTTGATGTCACCCCAGAGTCCCTGATGTCAGGAAGAGTGTTACAAGGGTGTTAACCTGAGTGGTTTTGTTAGGTATGAGACATCATTGGCTTCATTGTACCAGAGTTGAGAAAGTCAGATCTATTGGCTGACCAAGTCCATTTTAGTGCATCCACAGACCAGGGAACATGCTGCAAAGCTTGGCCAGGAGAGCTGTCCAACCTGTTTTGCTTTCTGTCCTCTGCTGGTTTAGATGAGCTAGCTGTCACATCTCCCATGTACATCTGGACATGTTGTCCACCATGTGGCCATCGACAACTGAGGAAGCTCAGGCCCAATACATGCACTCTAAGCTTGGACCGCAGATCTTGTGATTTTCCCTGTGGCTGAGGTTTGAGTCCAGCAGTGTAGTTGGGAGTCCCCCAACAAACCTCTCCTGGGGTGACCTCAGACTTGACTATTATGTGCTGCCGCCAGTATAGGATCAGGTGTGGTCTGTCACCTACACCAGCCAATGCACATACAGGAGCAGGTCTCTCATGGGGACGGTTGCCTTGATCTGACCAAGACATGCCCTCCAGTTTCTTGCCTCTAAATGATTTCTCCCCTCTCAGCTTCCTCACCTATCTGCAAGTGTGATGGCCTGGTTCATGGAGGTCCCTAGGAGTCCCTCCTAGCCTGTCAGGCATGCCGTTGATGTCCCCACTTCCGTACGTCTGCAGACCCCCTTCCATAGGCAAGCTGCAGGCCCCCACTGTCGGGGTCCCTTGGCCAGCAAGTCAAACCCAGACACTCGTTGTCTTTGTGGAGCCTTTATTGCGGAGATGACACAGCAAAACCGGTGCGCAGGGGCTGCACAGCGGCCGCCATGCAGCCGCAGCGCAGCCGCCACGCATAACGAGGCGTGCAGCAGCTACATCTTGGCAAGACGTGTTCTCTCCCTCTCTCTCCCTCCGAGGCGCACTCTCTCTCCCCCCTCCCCGGTTCTCTGGCTCCCTTATATCTTGGGTAACCCGGCCAATCAACGTAAAGGTCACCTGTGCACGCAGCGGGCAGGCCAATCCTCACACAGATCACGCACTGTCCACGCGCCATCCACGCACCCCTGGGCCAATCACAGCAGACTTCCTGTGACTTGTTTTTTCTAGCACAGCAGGAAGCAGCAGTTCGGCGCCCGTCTGTCTAGGGTGTGGGCTGTAGGCTCTCTACAGCTCCCCACAGCTCCCCCTTTTTGTTTTATTAATCACGGACTGTGCCTGTCTTAGGTGTTCCAGAGTAGGCTCTCCTTACCCGTCATCAGCTAACCACCTGGCTCGTGGCGCCTGGCTTAGGTAGGTAGAGCCTTACCGGATACTTACCCGTCTTTGACTACCAGTCCATCATGTTAAACCATACCTCAGGGGATTCTTGTCTAGTCAAGGCCATGACAACCTTCACTAACAGCACCTGTTGCTGCTGCTGTTGCTGAATGCGTCTGCATAGAGTGCGAATGGCCCAGGCTCTCAGATCATCACAAGCATGCATACACCAATCATTCCAGCCCACTGCTTAGCAAAGGATAGAACCTTTAACAACTGATTAGTCCATGGTTCCACAAAAGCAATTTCCACCTCGATAGCATTAATGGTAAGAGTTTGTGTCTGCAATTCGGCAGTCAAATTATCAAACTGAACAGACATTGGATATGATAAATGATACATAAAACACAAGCATTCCAAGGTCTGGATGTTACTGATTGTACTGGGTCCTCATAAGAAAAATTGTATCCCAGGAAGTTGTCATTGGTATAAGTCAGAAACAGATTGGACAAGTTCAGGCCAGGAGCCACCCTACGGGGGGTGACAGTGCTCTGGCAGCCAGTCCACTTTGGTGGCCATGACCATTGGTCCATACAACGAGGGAGGAGCTGACAAACTCCCAGTCACAAAATGGTTCCCGCATTGTGAGCGCTGGCAAAAAAGCAGGGTACCTTACTCATCAGGAGATGTGCCCATCCTCCTGAGCTGTTCCTCTGAAATCGTCCAATGGTGAATTGTCTGGTTCGTGGATGGCACTGTGGTGTTGTCCAGGGGCACCACCAGTAGTCCAATACTCGCATCAGTGTTGAAGATTGGGGGCAACATTGATGAACTATTGGTCACCAGTAATGGCACTGGCCATGCCTTCACGATCGCCCATAGTTGAAGCTGTTGGCTCAGTGTTCCGGGAGGCAGCAGCGTTACCAGCAGGATCACCGGCCCGAGCGTCCAGGGCTTCATCTTGGATGTTTTCTGGCATGGAGGCTCTCACCACTCTTGTTAGGCGCTCTGGTATCTACACAGGAACTTCGGAATCCTGCGGAAAAACACACTGCACCTCGCATCCGCCTCAACACCGGATGCGGGTCCTTCCACTGTTTAGTTAACACATCCTTCCATATCATTTATCTGCCACACATGATTTGGTAACAAACCACGCGGATTCACACAAATATGAGGTTGAGAAAGAAAAGGAGCACAAGATTGACAAAATGAAAGTACTTTCTGCACCTGTACCGGCATTCCATTCTTCTTCAGTAGCTTCTGCAGTAACTCTGCATGTGTACTGAAGTTGAATTCCCCATATTGTCACCACTTCCGGTGAGCTTACTCTTGTCGCTATCCCGCGAACCTAGCGCACGCTTCCCGCTCAAGGCGGCTCCCTGAGTCTCTGCTCAGTTCCGTTTTACATTCCCCGCTCAAGGCGGCTCCCTGAGTCTCTGCTCAGCTCTGTTTCAAACTCCCCGCTTCTGCGGCTCCCTGAGTCTCTGCTCAGTTCCATTTCACACTCCCCGCTTCTGCGGCTCCCTGGGCTCTTATCCCCAGCTACGACTTACCTGTAGTTACACTTACCTATCCGAGTCACGGCACCAGATGTCGGGGTCCCTTGGCCAGCAAGTCAAACCCAGACACTCGTTGTCTTTGTGGAGCCTTTATTGCGGAGATGACACAGCAAAACCGGTGCGCAGGGGCTGCACAGCGGCCGCCATGCAGCCGCAGCGCAGCCGCCACGCATAACGAGGCGTGCAGCAGCTACATCTTGGCAAGACGTGTTCTCTCCCTCTCTCTCCCTCCGAGGCGCACTCTCTCTCCCCCCTCCCCGGTTCTCTGGCTCCCTTATATCTTGGGTAACCCGGCCAATCAACGTAAAGGTCACCTGTGCACGCAGCGGGCAGGCCAATCCTCACACAGATCACGCACTGTCCACGCGCCATCCACGCACCCCTGGGCCAATCACAGCAGACTTCCTGTGACTTGTTTTTTCTAGCACAGCAGGAAGCAGCAGTTCGGCGCCCATCTGTCTAGGGTGTGGGCTGTAGGCTCTCTACAGCTCCCCACACCCCACGATGCAGCAGAGCATGGCATGCCTAGGGCCTTGAGAGGTGCATCTTAGCTCGGTGTCTCCTGCTTTTTTGGTGCACAGAGTTCCTTGCATTTTTTTTTTTTTTTAAGTAGAACAGTCAACTTTGCTGGCACACTAATATAGCTAACACAGATTTACATTAACCAGGGCCAGAATGCCTGTCAGCTATTGGCTGCTTTTTTTTCCAGCAGTGTAACACTTGCCTAAGTACAAGGCAACCTACGCAGTTGTCTGCTGCAGGAGTATAGAGGGTCTTATGGCTTGGGTATTTGGACTTTAACCCAAGTGTAGTAGATGTCAGGAAGCAATTTTTAAAGGTTTATTTACTTTTTTTCTCTAAAATTTATTTTTTTATTGGAAAGGAGGATATACAGAGGGAAGACAGAGCAAGATCTTCTGTTTGCTGGTTCACAGCCCAAGTAGCTGTAATGGTTGGAGTTGAGCTGATTTGGAACCAGGAGCCTCTTCCAGGTGTGCCACATTGTCATAGGGTTCCAAGGCTTTGGGTAGTCCCAGATTGCTTTCCCAGGCCACAAGCAGGGAGCTAGATGGGAAGCAGAGCAGCCAGGACACAAATTGGCGCCCATATGGTATCCTGGAGGATGCAAGTCAAGGATTTAGCCACCAGGCTATTGCCCTGGGCCCAAGGTTTATTTTATTTGAAAGGCAGATTTACTGAGGAGAGAGACAGAAAGAGACATCTGTTGGTTCACTCTCCCAAATGGCATTTGGAGAACCAGAACCATAGACAGAGGCCTTGCAAAAGAATGATAGAGAGCAGTTCTTGGAAATGGGGGAAACATTAACAAGCAGGCAGACCAAACCTTCTATATTGTCACAATTTATGTTTATTTACATAATTGTTTCTAATATCGTATGCAGAAGACACTTCAAAAGTAGTTTATTGAGCACTTTTAAGAATGTTCTAGTTGGGGTCAGCATAGTGAAGCTGGCATCTCCTCAGAGTGCTGGCTCAGTCCCAGCAGCTCCACTTTAGATCCAGCTGATGCACCTGGGCACGTACCTGCGCCGTTGCACCCACCTGAAGCTCCAGCTCTGGGCTTTGCCTCAGCCCAGTTCCCACCGTTCCAGGTGTCTAGGGAGTGAAACTGAAGGTGGGATATCTCTCTCTCTGTCTCCCCATCCCTCTCACTGTGATTCTGCCTTTCAACTGAAACTACATCCTGGGAAAAAAAAGAATATTTGAGTAAAGGAATAATAATTTGTAATGGCATCCAACCTCTCTTAACTCCAGAGCTAACAATGAATTTTTACTCTTGTAAAAAAAACCTTTACTTCTTGTTTAAAAAAAAAAAAAAACCCTTCTTGATAGAGGTTTCAGGAGTAGTGAAATGATCAAAGGTAAATGCAGTAGATGGGAGGGAAGAGAAAGTGAAATTTATGTGATCGGAGTCTGAGTTAGGGGTTTAAGTGCTTTGAGTTATGTCTGACGTTGTGGTATAATAGATTAAGTTGCTAACTGCAATGCCAGCATCCCATATGGAGTTTTATTTTTTTTCCTGCATAGTTCTGCAACTTGTTTCTCTAATGTGGAAAGCAGATCAAGTATCATTTGAAAGAAGTAAAAAGCAAAAACAAAAAACAGCAATGACTACTTTAGTAGGAGACTTTTATAAGCTAAATACAAAGACAAGATCCTTTTGTTCTGTTCCAGTGATGAAGCTCCCGTGGGTTTGCAGGTAGACATGCTCTAGGTAGAACTAACTGGGTTACTATTTACCTGTCTTTCTTTCTTCTCTCAGGAATGCTCCTTGTGAGAGCAAATCTGTCCTGTGTCTTTAGCCCTTGAGCCCTCTTATTACAGGAAGGATTAAGGAAAGAAGAGCTTAGCACTACCCCTTTCCCGTTATCCCAACCTTAACTTTCTCCCTCTGAATTCTCAGCCTTTCTGCTTCGTTTAATGGGTTGTTGCTATTGGCACCATACTCTGCTAAATCTTGGTATCTTTTTTTTTCTCCCAGGCTTCTTTTTCATAGATGTAATGAGTTTTTGATACTTTGGAAGCAAAGCATCATTTAGAAATCATCTGCAAATTCCAGCAAAATGACGATGTTGCCTTGATCAGGAAGAGAAGTGACTGACTTGGTGTTTAAAGCACATGCACTGGACCTGTTTTATTTCGCCTCCCTGAATTTGAGGAACCATGGAGAAGCGATACTTGATGGCAGTAGCGGTCTTAATAGGACTGACAGTCCGATGGACAGTCTCCCTTAATTCTTACTCAGGTAATACACTCTTACTGTTTAAGAGACGGGTAAACATTACTTTGAAAAGGTCTTTCCATTTGTTTTTGTGGTCCCAATTTATAGTTTTCAGATTGGGACAGAGAAGAATTTCAGTTGATATGTCAAGAAAATACACTGCGATGTCTAATTTTTATAAAAAATATGTACGAGAGCTAAATGGGCTTTGTGATTTGAGAAAACAAAAATGTATTCAAATTAGAAGGATGCCACATTCAGAAGTGGTCAGGTCTGTATAGACACTGCAGAGAGTTGAGCCAGTACCTCAGGGGCAGGAGTCGGGCCAGAGAAGGGATAAGGTTAGGAATGAGGAGTAGGGGAGAAGGTGATGGAGTATGGTCCTGGAGACTGGGACTGCGACAAAATGTCGCCCTGAGAGTAGTTAGTACTTCTCATGTTCCAGATATTGTGCTGGCTGCTTGAAATGCAAGGGCACTTCAGAAATTTTATGGAAAATATACAGTATTAACAACTGCATGGATTTAAACATTTTTTGCACTAAAATAAAGGTTTTCCTTGAATTTTTTGAAGTGTTCTTATACCAGATGAATATCCAGGACTGATTGCAGTTTAATTGATGAGTGGTCCAATCCAGTGTGACAAGTATGACATAAGTGTTTGCTCTGCTTTGAGAAGTGAATGAGTCATTAGGGAGGACTTGAGGGACGTCCGAGTTCAAGGTTTGAGTGATGAGTTGGAATTGTCAGGTGGCTCAAATGCGGAATGTGTTGTAGGGAGCAGGAACATGCGCAGAGAACAGTGCTGGTGTGAGTGGGCGTATCGTCAGTGTTCAGTACTAGAGGGCATGGAAAGAAGGAAGTTAAAGCACGGAAGGCCTTAGCTAAAGATTTGGTTATGCAGTTGACTGGACAAATTATTTGGTTGTAGAAAATAAGTTTTTTTTTTTTTAGATATATGATTAATTTTGTTTGGAAAGACAGATTTACAGAGAGAAGGAGTGACAGAAAAATCTTTCATCTGCTGGTTTCCTCCCCAAATGCCGTAACAGCTGGAGCTGAGCTGATCTGAAGCCAGGAGCTAGGAGCCTTTTCCAGGTCTCCCACACAGGGGCAGGGTCCCAAGGCTTTGGGCTGTCCTCGACTACTTTCCCAGGCCACAAGCAGGGAGCTGGAGGGGAAGTGGAGCTGCTGGGATTAGAACTGACATCCATATGGGATCCTGGCGCTTACAAGATGAGGATCATTGCACCAGGCCCTGTAGAAAATAACATGAGGAAAAAGAATTATAGAGAAAAGTTGGAGATAGAGCCAAAAGAGTCAGTAAGAGTAGCGGCAGCAGCAATTAGAGCTATTTTTGAGTAGTTGCTGTATGCTTACCACAACCACTGAAGGTAAATAATAGTGCTCATTATAAATGGAAAGTGGGATGGCCAATAAGTGGGGTGACCAGTAAATGAAAGCTGGTCCAGATACAATTGTGTTTGATCTCAAAGTCAGTGCTTTTATGACTTCATTTTATGATTTCTGACAAGAGGGCCTGAGCAAAGATGGTTAAATGTTAAATGAATTTAAGGAAATTAAAGAGGTAAAATCACCTTAAAGCAGCCACAGACTTGGCCTCAGATTCTAATTATGTTGGCCATTAGCTGCCTGAATGGTGGAAATTTTTTCTTTCTTTTTTAGAAGAGATTCATTTGTTTGAAAGAGTTACAAGGAAAGAAAAAGCTTTTATCTGCTGGTTCACTCCGCAAATGGCTGCAACTATTGATGCTGGTCCAGGCCAAAGACAGGAGTTAAGAGGTGCTTAATTCTGTTCCCCAACGTGGGTGGCTGCCGTAGCATGTGGCAGCTTAACCAGCTTAACTGTGACCTCCCCAAATGCCTGCACCAGCCTGAACTGGATCAAGCCAAAACCAGGATTCTGGAGCTCTGTCCGGGATCCCCCTCAGGATGGGATGTGAGTTCCTGGCCATCACCTGCTGCCTCTTAGCATATGCATTAGCAGGAAGCTGGTCTGGATGCAGGACTTCATCTCAGACACACTGGTATGGGATGAAAATATCCCAAGTGGCAGCTTAACTACTGTGCCACAGCCTTGATCCTTTAAGAGATGGGTTTAGTTGTTGCATGGACCTGGGAGTGTAGGGAGTGAGGGTGCTGGTTGGGGGACCACAAGGTCATGAGTGAGTTTAGAAAGAAAGCATCTCAGAAGTACTGTTGCACATAGCTGATTGCAGTGGTCCAGGCAAGGGCTGATCTAGACTAGGCCACTAAATCTGAGATCCATGTTGAATGAACATCAACACTATTTAATGGCTAACTGTGTGTGAGGATAAATAAGGAGGAGGAATTGACAGATGGTTCTGGCTTCCAATTGAGCTCCTAAGAGTAGATTCTGCGGGAAAGATTATGAATTGTGCTTTGGGATCTGTGCACATTCTACTCAGCTAGAAAGGGTGAGTTTGCAGAGGGTTTAGCTGAAGATACAGGCATGCATAAATCCACAAAGGACACCTCCTTACTGGTCTTAGGTGGGCTCTGGCTTCATTCTCCAGGGCAACCACTGCTGAGCTAGGTTGGGTCAGTTGCAGATCTTTGTTTGGCTAGACCTAAAGTATTCAGGTCCAGTTTTTGTTCATTTCTCTCTGAGCTCGCACCTTGTCTCAGATGTAGCACAAAGTGAGTGCAAGAGATGTGTTTAGAAAATTTTGCTAGAATTCCAACAGTGAGTGTTGTGTACATCATACATTCTAGGTGGTTCCCTAGTGTGGACTCCCTGTTATTTCACATTCTTTGCAACATTTGGTAGTGTTACTGTATGAATTTTTGGCAGTGTGGAATGTGTTAAGTGATATTTCATTGAGATTTCAATGTGAGTTTATTTCATTAGTGATGGGAGTGAGCACAGTTTTATGTTTATTAGCTATTTATAATTCCTTTTCTGTGAAAAATTTGTTTATATCATTTGTGTATTCCTATTAGATTTTTCTATATATTGTCTATATAACTATACAGAAATACTTCAAAAGTTCATGGAAAATGGAATTAAAAGATATATTTATTTGAAATCCATGTAAACTCTTGGTTTTGTTCCTTCCTGCTGTGGTAGGCAGCATTGCTCACAAGGCTCCCCAAAGATGCCCTGCCTTCAGCTGTATAATCTGTGAAAACGCCATCTCACTTGGGAGTGACTGTTACACGGCACAGTAGGCTTTATTACAGGGGATTGTACTGAGTTATCCAGGGGTGCTAGTGCAGTCACGAGAGCCCTTGAAGGTGGAGAACTTTGTCCAGACGGCTGCAGGAAGGCTCACTAGGGAGAGTGAAAGCATTGCAGGGGCCATGTGAGAAAGGGCGCAAGTCAACGAGGAATGGGAGTCTTAGATCTGCAGCCACAAGGAGCTTGTATGTGCACTTACAACCCAAGTGAGTTTCAGAATGGATTTTTCCTTGGGCTTGCAGATGAATGACTACCTGACACCTTATTTTGGTTCTGAGCAGAGAATGGAGTTAAGCCTATTTAATGCTGTTTTTGTTTCTGTTTTGAATGCGGAGACTTTAAAAAAAAGTATCTATTTTTTTTTTGAAAAGCAGACTCACACAGACTCACTCAGACACACATTCCCTGCCTCCCCCAACCTCTTCCATCTGCTGGTACACTCCCCACATTGTCCATGACAGCTGGGAGGAGCCAGGAGCCGCTGACTGCATCTTGGTCTCCCACATGGAATTCATAATTTGACCTAAATAACTGCGGGCTAATAAAAGGATATTGTTTAAAGCCCCCTAGGTTGAACCTAACTGTTGTGTAGTAAAAAATAAGCTAAGATGCATAGTTGTGTCTTTTTAAAAAATATGCTGTCAAAGTCCTATTGAGATATTTTATTGGGATTTTGATTGGAAATGAATAATTCTGTATTGTTGATAAATTTGGGAGGAGAATTGACAGTCATCACTGGGACTTCTAGTTCATTAGGATGATATGTTTTCCATTTGACTCCTTAATGTGCTTCAACAAAATTTTATACATCCTCTTTTGGATGTATTCCCAGGTAATCTCCTGTTTTGTTTTAGACTCCATATTGTAGATTGTGTTTTTATGCTTTGCTTTGTTTTAAGGATCTATTTATTTGAAAATTAGAGCTAAAGAGAGGGAGCGATCTTCCATCTGCTGTTTCCTCCCAGACAGCTAAATGGCCAGGGCTCGCTCTCCCTTTTTCTGTGTTCATTCTGCCTTTCCAACAAATAATAAAAAAATAATCTGAGAGAGGGAGAGAGGGAGAGAGACTTAACTTTATATCCAGAGGAAAGGAGAATCCTTATCACTGAACATGGAAGGACACCCAGAGGCACTGAAAACAATAGCTTGATGCATTTCCTCCGGTTTACCACTGTATTTCATAGCCTTTTTGCTCTGTTCTGGAAGGCAGAGGATGGCTGGAGTGTCTACATGGGAGACGCAGCTGGGGCTTGAACCGGCACTCAGATATGGGCTGTCAGCATCATAAGCAGCAATTTTAAATTGCTCTGCCAAATATGATATATCTTTAAAAAAGTATATTGTTATATTTGACTTACTGACATTTAGTATGTATTTCTTCTTGAATTATTTTCATAGTATATATATTTCTCTATGTATTTCATAGTATATATTTCACCTATATATTTATATGTACTGGCATAAAATCATTCATGTTCTTATCTTTTGTATTTCTTTTATTTCTTTTTGCTGGGAAATCAGACTTCTAATAAAAATATAGAGAAGAGGGAGAGAGAGAAAGATCTTCCATTTGCTGGTTCACCCACGTTCACTCTTGAGCCGATCCGAAGCCAGGAGTCAGGAGCTTCTTCCGAGTATCCCACATGAGTGCAGGGTCCCAAGGCTTTGGGTCACTTCTGCTTTCCTAGCCATAAGTAGGGAGTTGGATGGGAAGTGGAGCAACCAGGACATGAACTAGCGCCTAATGGGATCCTGACACTTGGGAGGCAAGGATTTAGTTACTGAGCCATCACACCAGGCCT